TCGGATCACTTTTTCGACCCCTTCCAATCCAATGCCTTATATCTAATTATTATTATATGGCAGTGTAGGGTATTTAATGGTCGGCCGTGACCCACTATACTGTTTTTTTAAGTGTTTAAACATCTGAAAAATTTTATTTTAAAAGACTTTTACAAATCGTGATTAATATGTATATATGTATATATATATATATAAATATAACCTACAAAAAAAAAAAAAGAAAAAAGTGTTTAGTCTTAGTTGAATTAAAATTGTAGCAAAAATACTAAAAAAAAAAATATATATGTATATATATATATATCTGTGTCTGGCAGGAGTACACTTTAATTTTAATTAAAAAATTCTCACAATAACACTCGAGTACACGCAAGCATTCGAAGGAAATGAACTATTACGTATACAATTCGATAAGAGAAAGAGAGTAATAATGACAACAGCAGAGCAATAGCAACAACAATAATAATTGTGATGAAATGAATCCTCTTGAATAAATGTTGATATACGATGAGATGAAATTTAAAACTTAACCAAATCGAAAGGCAAACAAAACACAAAACGAAAACAACAATGGAAACGAGTGAGAAAAGCAACAGCATAACAACAACAATCAGGCAACTTATTATATAATACAATAACAACAGTGTGCAATGTCAAGTGTTTTAAAAAGGCTAAAAACACATATTCACACATATACCACCTATACGACATACGTACGTAAATGAGCGAGTGAGCGAACGAGCGAACGAGCGAAAAAGCGAACGACGAATAGTTATCCATTGGACAAGGAGTAGGAGAACTCAGTTAAGTAATAAAGAAAACATTTATGTATGCTGCATTTTCATTTCCGCTTCCGTTTTAACAATGAAAATGCGAAACGTATACACATTTCATTTTATACGCGTTTTGCAGAACAACTGACATACAAATCAGATGAGAATGTATATATAGCATATTATTCTCAAAGAATAAGGCACTGAGAAAGAGAGAGAAATTGTAATACAAAAGGGCAGAAACTTAATTTGTACCGAAGAAGAAAAAAAAATAAGAATAAAAAGAGAATTTGTTATCGCATGAAACTATCTGCAAAATTGATTTGATTAAAACTAGTTTGTCTGCATGGAATACCAAATGAGTTTTTGAATCTATTCGCACACACACACACACACACGCATACGTACACGCCTGCACTTTCATCTATAATATGAATATACTTTTAAAGACTCGAAAATTTTTTTTTTTATTTTTATTGCGTCTTTTTCGATTTCTTTCAAACAATGGGATCACTTCTTATCCATTTTAAGGCTTACATCTACAGATGACAATATATGGAAATGTTTCTAGCTAACCTCGAACACAGTCACATTAGTCTTTGAGTTAATTTAAATATGCTCCGCTTAAAGTAAATACAAATATAAAACCTAAGCGAAGTGAAGGTAACCCACATTTTCTTTCTTCACACTTGAATCGCGCCTCCGTTAAATGAATAACATTGAAAGCATAACAAAGTTATGAGAAAAACTAAACAAAAATAGAAAACATAGCAAACATAAATAATAAAAAAAACAATGAATAGCAGATAGATAAGCAGATAGATAAGATGGACGAACGGACAGGTATGGTCAGGTGTCTTCCGAATCTGGAACTAGCCAAAAATTTCTACGCGTTATAAGAGTATTGAGAAAAAAAATCAAATTTTAATACACGATAATATTAGTTAGGCACGGTCAATTTATCCATTTTCGTACAGATGCTACAGCGCCGCCCATAGAATATACGTTCAAATTTTTATACATTTATCTGCTATAGTTTGTGAATAATGAGCAAAAAAACAAATTTTGCTTTCCTTTTGAAAAGCAGAGTTCTGTTCTCATTTCCTACATTTCCACGCGCGGGTGGCCTTTAATCGATTTTGCCCATTTTCATGCAAGAACTTCCAATGGTTCTGCCAGGTTGTAAGCCGATCGCTTCATTTTTGCGGTCACGAGAATGTGTAAAAAAAAACAAACAAATGGACGCTTAAATCAATTTAAAATGTATGTACTTTGCAGGGTCTCTGAAGCTTTCTTCTGCGCGTTGCAAACGAATGTGACCGTCATCCTTCGGTAATGGGTATAAAGAGGTTTAAATAATTAAAACAATTCCAGTTTTTTGATGTCATGAGGGGCGCCGATAGTTATCAGGATAAAGGTATCAAAAATTTTCGAGAATTAATACAATATCTATAATAGTAGTAGCAGTAATGTAATAGTAGTAGTAGTAGTAGTAATAGTAATAGTAGCAATATAAAACATGTATGTCCAAAATACAGAATATATAGATATATATATGAATGTAGTTCCAAATATCGCTATATATATAGTACATAGTATATGGTATATAGTATATAGTATATATAATATGTATATAGCAGTTATTCGCCATAGCAAGCATAACGAATTCGACTGTAATGAAAACGAAATTAGAAGAGAAATTATTCGTTACTTTCTCTTTTGTTCTTAATCTTCTGACCATCAAAAACTGTACTTAAATGAAATTTTTTCTTGCTTTTTTCATATTTTTCTAAATAATCCACATGCTTTTTTCTAATCATTGTGGACCCAATATAAACGTTTTATATTTCTATTATAATTAAAGCAAGTAAGAAAATTATATTCGCTTGCGACCGAATATTCTATAACCATTATCCTCTCCATACACTACATAGATCCCTTTACTGATTTTTGAACTTTTTTCATTTTCATAGAACTTCAACGAGCTTTTTTCATTTTCATATAACTTCAACGAGCCTTTGATGAAAAGAAGTTCATTGATTTTATTGAAGCTTTTTTTTTAGGAATAACTTTTTCTCTAAAAGCTTGAGCAGCTGTAACGGATAACTCATAATAATGAGTGTTTTTTAACAAACAAACTTTTTCCTTGCATTTGAATTGATATTCGAAAAAAAATTGTTGTTTTTATTTTACATATGTACAGATTATCGTTATTCGTCGCTATATACGCTACACAGAATTAACATACTTAGGTTATCGCATTCTACTCTCCACATCCTTTTATTCCTTATATTCATGTCCATATTGACGAAATTATGAAGAAAAAACTTAATTCACTACGTCCCCGATATTTCATTTAAGATCGAACACACTTAGCTTGTCCAATTCCACAATCCAAGTCCTTTTATTTGATACTCAAATGATTATACTGCTAAGAAAACACGTATCTTCCACCTTAGAAGGTCCACCATATATTTATTTTAGAACCAACATATTCTTAAACAGACAGTGTATACATATGTGAGGAATAGTACAGTAGGGAATAATTTGCTATCAAAAAAGTCGCTTACAACTTTGTGTAGGCGTGGTCGGTTTTTTTCTATTTTTGTCGAGGTACTACAGGACTACTAATGTTTATCGTTGTATTTATTATAGTTTACAAGTAACGAGGGTAAAAAGAAAATGGTAAAGTGGTCTTAGATTATATTGTACTTTGATCGTGTCCTTCGACCGATTTATTCCCATATTCAATACCAGCTAACGGGCAAGAACTTTTAATATTTCTGCCAAGTAAATATTTGCGACCAGGAGAATGTCAGAGAGACAGACTGACAGACGTACGTGGTTAAATCGATTTGGAATTTGGTGCTTGAGTCTCCGAAGCTTTCTTCGGTGCGTTCCAAATGATTGCAAAACGTTTGACAAAATGGTCCGCATAATCCTTCAGTAATAGGTATAAGGGCGTTAATGGCAACCATTACTTGTGTGTTGCTTTCTCTTTCTCTTTCCTTTTCTTTGCTTTTTTTTTTTGTTTAGTAAATGCTTTCACACCTGTAATTTAGATATTGCTGTCAAAATCCGCTGTCTTATGTTTACTTTTTACAAAAACATCAAGTCCGTGATATCTTTACCTAAGAAAAGTAGTCAACAGGACATAGGTTGAGAATAAATTATCAACTAATGGAAGTATATATAACTTGTAACGTAGCCGTGACCACGTAGTAAGAAGTGTGTCGGTTTTACTTACATCAGTTATTTTGCATGCAAGAATACATTTTTTTAGAATCCTCTGACGCTGTAATAAATTTCTTTGTTTTTTTTTTATTTATTTATTATTATTGTCACTTTCGCCCGACAAGTAAATTCTAAGACTAACGTCCCAAATCATTAGCAAGGCTAGCCAAGGCTATTCCGCACTTAAAATTCGTAACCCATGACCATTGAGTTCTTAGTTGAGATTGAGGAAGTGATCGAAGAAGTGGACCGATCGGACTCATTTTCAATAGCGTTCGTCCTTGGCGCAAAATACTGCACTCTACCAAATTACATCGAAATATCTCAAAAATTATGACTTGTAGCTTGCATACAAACTTACAGACAGCTTCGGATCAATTCGAATTATGATACTGATTCGATCGGTGTAATAAAAAATGGATCTATATTAAGCTCTTCTACGTGTTACATACGTTCGCAGTGACTTAATATACCTTGTACCACAAGGGTGTAGGGTATAAGTATTATTATTGTTATTATAATAATTTTAGACTAATGAAATAAATTCTTGGAATAAAAAAAGATATTGAGCACTAGCAACACAGGCTATCGGCTCGAATTTATATAAATGTACATTAGATATTGAGCCTAGTAGTTTTAATAAAGTAATATATTGGGGGTATAAATAAATTGAACATAAAGTGTGGAATCGCTGTTTGCACCTGTTGAGTTGTAAACTGGATTACGCGCAACATCTGAGACGGGGGAAAAGAATCGGTGATTAAAACCAAAACTACGTTAAACAATAATCTTATCCATATAAAAAAAGGCATGAATCTTAATACTGAAAGATACATCATGAGAAAACAAGATTTATCTTAAAAATTTGTGTTTCTCTGTTTGATAAATAGCGACACGATGCGATGCGATACGATACGATATGCTGTTAGTTAATGTGCCTTACAAATGTCATTTAATTGTTAACAGTTTAAGAATTTCTTTTTGTTATCATTTTAATGTGAATGATAAAATTAAGAAAAAGATAAATTAGACGTGCATTTCTGCTGCAGGACTGCTGTGAATATTTTTCTTAAATTTATAAATAAAATCTAAAAATAACACAATGGCTGGAATTATGGACTCCGTAGAAATGCCGAAATTATCAGAAAATCAAAAATCCTTTGCCGGTATACCAGAAGCAATATTTCTAGTAAGAAAGACACATCGTTCTAACCTTAAAATATGCTTTCAATTTGGGGCAAATAGACGAAATTACTCACTCACTCATTGAAAATATTTCTTACATGTTCATTCAGGAAGAAATTGACAGTTTCATGGCCAAACCGGAGAATGAAGAAAATTGTGAAAAGGTATTGCAACGATTGGATGAACAACACAGTAAATATCGTTTCATGGCGTTTAATTTAGAGGCACGAAGAAGAAAACTAAAGTCACAAATACCAGACTTGCAAAGGTCATTGGAAATGATAGATGTTTTGCGTAAAGAAACGGAAGAACGTGAAACACAATTTTTGTTAAGCGATCAAGTGTTTATCAAAACAATTGTACCACCCACAGACACCGTATGTCTTTGGCTGGGCGCTAATGTTATGCTGGAATATCCTCTCGACGAAGCCGAAATTTTGCTTAAACAGAATATGACATCGGCCATAGCTAATTTAAAAACAGTGGAACATGATCAAGACTTTCTGAGGTAAGAAAAAGTGCTCTTGTATTAAAAGTATCTTCTACAATTTATTTTTCTAAAAAAAAAAGAGATCAAATTACTACCACTGAAGTGAATATGGCCCGTGTTTATAACTGGGGTGTGAAGAAACGTCAAGCGGCTGGTAAAAACGCCGCTACCAATAATTCATCTTAATGTTCGTATGCAATTAAGCTTTCGCTTCTTAGTGCGATATAATACAACAACAGCGGAAACTTTAGCAGAGTTTTTTATAATCCCTTTTCATCACCTACCCGTCGAAGGCTTCCTTCCTTTGAATAAACAGGCTTAGTTTCGTTTTCTTAACTCTGCTTACTTTTCAAACGTTTTATTTATTGATTAATTTTAAAAATATTTTACACATAAGTAATGGAAAATATTTCATATATTAAAATTACTTTTCAAGAAACATGTCCTTTTTTCAAATTTCAAACACTTAGCAAATAAGTAATGTAAACCAGAATAGTTCGTTTTGAGATAAAAAGTTGAAATGCATTTATTTAATAGCAAAAGGTTGGCTTAAAAGAAATATGAAGGTTTTCGTTTTCTACTTTTTTTTTTTTTTAATTTCAAATAATCGTGAGAGATGAGAGTTTAAACGCTTGTTGAATGTCAAATAATAAAAACCAATCCGAAAATCACATATATTACTTGTTTGAAATCAAATTTTATACATACGAGTTTAAAAAAAAAAACCAAAAAAAACAAAAAACAAAATATTGCAAACAAATAAAAGAATATTTTGCGGGTAATTATGGTAAAAGTTTATTGTATTTTTGTTCTCATTAGGGGCTATTTGCGAAATAGTTGTTGTCTAAAACTTTATTATTATATAAATTCAAATCATTTTCCAATTGATTGCATTGTCTGAATGAAAAGGAATCCAGATTAAAATGGAATATGAAAACATTTTCTATTCTATTAATTCTCGCCTGATGTCTTGTACGCAAGTCCGAAACATAGTTAACCCCATCTTTCAAGGATTCAAACAAACATTTTTTTATTTACTGAAGTTTAGAAACTATCATCATTTTGTTGAGTCACATTTTAGGCCATAATTAAATAAAATACTTTTCGCTCTTGTGTTTTTGTAATTGAACGCATAATTCAATGGGAAATAAAAGAAGAGAAATTAAGCATTCCTGTATATAAATTTAAAAATTATTTGCGACTACTTATAAACATTCGCATAATTCCCAGGTTAAGTTGCTTTTATAATTCGTTATGCTTCATTTGAGTTTCTCCTTACGAATTGAATTACCACGCATTATTTCATACATTATGCAGCTGTTTCTCCTTTTGAATTCAACTACCATGAATTATTTTCAAAAATTGACTTCCTGTTGCTCACATAACTTAACGTTCAAGTGTATTATGCTATACGGTAGGTAATAGAAACTATTATCAAAAGATTTCTTCTTCTTAATATGGCATGGCTTAACAGTGTCGCTATTTTTTATTTTATCTGCCTGCGTGTTTTTTTGTTTTCCTTACTAGAATATAGCAATTATTTATTATTTTAGATGACAGGAATCAAAAACTATTGATCTCAGCAAATAGAGGCCGTGATATTATTAATAAAAAGCCGCATTTGCGCACTTTTTTGCATCCTTTTTTTATATTGATGATGAATAATACAAGTTTATTTTTATTTCATTATTATTATTCAATATCATGATAATGGCTTCAAATAAACGAAGCAATGACAGTTTACTTTTGAATTTTTTTAACTGTTATTAAAGAGTCGTCTTGCAATTGCTCTTCCGATTTCTCGGCTAACTTATGAGCACTATCTCCCTGCACGTTCTGCAAAACGGAGGCTGCGAACATCGTTTTCTCCGCCTATCACATAGAGTACATAGAGTACAATGTCAAGGTTACAGCTTTTCATGCAACTATAAGGACTTATCAAAAGTCATAATTTATTAAGATTTTTCAAAAATTTCAATAGAACAGAAACGTCCAATGGTTTAATGAACGCTTTTTCACTAAAAGGCTTTTTTTGGAAAATTACCAATAATCGAAAAATTAAACCGATTGAATTTAATGGCTAATATTTTCCATTTCCACCTTTTTAAGAACTTCGTTGAATATTCTAATTAATCCCACTTTTTCGCGTCTAATAAATAATCACCGTCCGGCGAGTTGTAACCTTCAATAGGTGGTGTTGCAACCGGTCCTTTGACCCGTACTGGCAACAATGAAACATCCGGTTGTATGGCTTCTTGATATAATTCCTCTGATTCTAAGCGTAATTCATCTAAAGCTTTCTGTTGAGATAACATCAAACGATCCATAATTTGAAGATCAAGCATTTTTTGCTCATGCTTATAACGAGTCCATCGTTTATTCAAATCGTAACGCCTTTCCACTTCTTCGGCTGATATTGGAGGCAAGTCACGCACTCGTTGCCTGAAACAATAGAATATATTTTATGTTTATTTTAATAAAGAAAAATCAATTTGTTGCATTTTACTCTTTCTGATCTATCAATTCCAAAGGCACTTCTAATTCTTCGACTGGTTTAAGTTGCCGCGCATTCTTTTCCAAGCGTCTAATCTGCTTTTCTAACTTTCTTTTACGGCGATCTTCGCGCTGTTTAATAATTTGTGGATCTAATTTTTTCTTCTTTTTTAAAGGTTCAGCACATAGAATCGGTGAACAATGTATCCAAGCTTTAGGTTGTCGAAAAATCGTTGAGTTTTGTAGTGCCAACCTAAGTGACAGAGAAAACTTTCTTATTTATTTCTTGGCATTATCGTTTATCAGTTTTCTTATTCTTACTACCTGCAAAAGCCTTGCAAAAGTGACATCATTATAACTTTTAATTTTGTCACGAATTTATTAAAGTGCACAGTGTTTGTTTGACATAATTTGCCAAACATATGTTTATTGAAACAAACGTTGCCATATAATGATGTCTGTGTAACAGTAAATTTTATTAAAAAGTAAGAAATGGCGACAAATGGAAAGGACCTCTTTCACCTCTACGAAACTATAGAAATTAGCATAAATACAACAAATAGAAAAAACACAGAAGACGAAATGAAGACAATTTACTTTATATTTGAAAACTATTTATCTAATTTATATATATTTTGTAGTAATTTAGGTATTGATGGTTGTAAAATCTTTGTTTATCCTCCATATTATTTTGTAAGAAATGGGAGGCAGACAACAAAGGCGATTTATTTTCATTTTAAATCAAGAAACTTAACTTCTTTTGCTTTGTGCTGATGAAATCCACCCCGATGCTCCTGCTTTTAGGCTTTTCTTCTTTCTTTACTCTACTAGTCAGTTGATTCAGTTTGCTTTTACGTTAATTTTCTTATCTCTTATTTTTTTGTATATAGTACTTACATATTCTTTTCCTTTCTTCGCCTCTCAAATCGAATGTTTTGTTTATATTTGCACCGACTTTCTTTCATTTCATCAAAAGACATGATAACACGGCTTCTCATTGCGTTTATAATTTTGAAACCTATTTGTTCGACAATCGCAGTAGCGTTTTTTTATTTACTTTTCTACCAGTGGATTTCAGTTCCATTACCGGTTTATTCTATATCTTTTACTGTCTTCTTAGTTCTGTGTATAGAGAGTAGCGAAATTCTCTTTAAAAATTGGTTTTCGTTTCTCTTTTTTTCTTGCCTAAAACAATAAAATCATTTACATAGCATAATACGGAATCATTGGCAACTCTGATTTTATAGCATACCATCTATAATCTATTCTTACTTGTATCATTCTTTCTCAAAGCGCTTAAGATAACGCAAGAAAATTGTTTGGATAAGGAATTTGTGGATTCTTCTTTTTATACAAAATCTTACTTTTAGGAAAGTGTTTGTGAATTTATTTATATATGTAATTATTAGATATATACTGTTGAAGAAGGTAAGCAAATAGGATAATCATTAGCTGAATAAAAAATGCATGCTAGAGTATCGCATGCAATATATCTATAATTATATATGCGGGAAGCAAGCTATGTTGAAAATGCAAAGCAAAATTGCAAGTGAGTTCAATTTTTTAGCGGACTTTTTCAACTTTCGGGTTTTTTAATATTTTGAAATAAAATCTTATATTTATATTATTACTGAGTCATTAAAAACATTCTAGGCCTTAATGACTTACATCACAAAGCCATAAAATGAAGTATATAAACATGAAGCGAACCCACCTAACATTCATCAGGTACAACCAATCAATAGGCAACGGTTACCTGCCAAAAAAACTTCTACAGTATACTTATCTACGCCTCGCTAGTTACTGTTGACGTTTGAAAAATAAACAAAAGAAAAGACAAAGAAAACCAACCCTATCGCTAGGCCATAAGTGAATTGTTTCTTTAAAAATTCATGTTTATAAATTTACAGGCTTCGTCCATTTAATCTTGATATTCCCATGAAAAAATCATTACTAGCATATCGGCTTATTGTGCAACCGCTAAATATGAGATAGTTGCAAAAAGCAGTGGAGGAATGATTATACTTATTCACAGAAGCTCCTTCTGTTTTCTTCTTCGTGCTTTTGCAAAATTTCTCCAACATGTGACTACTATTGTATTAAAAATGAAATTTATTGGCTTTTATACAAACCTGATGTAACGGAAAAGCCTTAGGTAGGTAGTATTCGTTAATAATAACCAATCGTAACATCAAAGAAAAATCCGGAAACTTACTTGCGCATCTCATACATTAATATTCGTATGTCAAGAACGATTTGCTTGGTTTCGTTTAAATACAATCACAACTACCTTTCGCATTTATGTGTATATCTACCTACCTGCTCAAAATATTTTACTTTGTTTTCCATTATTCAATTTCTTCGTTTTTATGTTTGTATCGCTGTCTCTTCTTTTGATTTCTAAGGATTGTTGTGTAGGTAATCACATTTTCTCTATGATGATGATGATGTCCTTCTTTTTTTTTTGATAAGAACTTCAAGGGCTAATGCATTTAGTTTTTATATATGAATTACTTTTCAGTTTTTGGAATTCAATAACTCTTCTCCGTCTAAATATAATTTCCTTTCCACAGTGAACAACCATGTTCAGTTAAATGGGCATTGCCTTATATCCACGAACTGAGTTTATCTGGCCGTGAGGATAACTCTCTCAGAACGATATAATATTTAATTGAACACAGAAATGAACACAGTTAAGAAGTTGAGAAATGAAGCGTGCGTGCATGGTCTTACCACATGCTGATTACTAAAACGAGAATTAAATGAAGCAACAGATCTCATTAGGAGAGGAAAGCATTTTCGCAAACTAAAAATTCGCTTTTTTGTCGTAAATTAAGTTACTGCGAACGTATCTTACAAGCAGAAGGGCTTAAGATAGATTCGATTTTACCGATCGATTCAGAATAATAATCTGAACTGATTTAAACCCATCTGTCTGCCTGATGTCCGTCCACGTAAATTTGTGCTCAATCTACAGAAAAAGAACTTCGCAACCAAGCCGAAGGATATCCACCAAGTTGTGACAATCTCTTACGATAATCAGTTGCTATCATCATATGTTAAGAGCGCTTAACAAACTTCAGACGAACGCTTCGATTACATGTGAACATTAAGATCTAGCTAATGTAAAGTTCCGTGAGTAACGAATTAATTTTTTCATTAAATTAATGAAATACCTAAACGTGCATCACAACTATCGCAAATAAACTTAGCGATATTGATTTTGTAGGCGATAAAAAATGATGCAGACAAACTGGAGCATGCGATATTTATTTAGAGGTAATTTTCATATGTCATGGATCTTGATTTTTTTTGGGCCACACAAACAATTCAGTTGCTATTATTTTCATTCACCCTTACGTTAATAAACACGGTTTGGTATGTCTAGGGCTATTGGAGTTAAAAAGGCGAAAATAAATGCAAAAAAAATTCAAAACTCGCTTTAGTTTAAGCCTCTTAAAGAATGAGAAAAGCAAGTTAGAACATTATAATCAGGCCGACCATTAAATACTTTACACCAGTCTAGAACTTTATGTTCTTTTCTTTTGGTAAAATCTCAGTGTCAACAGAGAAAATTAGCTGAACCAGACCAAGAATCCGCTCACTACTCATAAATTGACAAATATACGTCAGGCTGAATATTTAAATATGGTTCGTAGTCTTACTTCTGTAAGGTTCTGCTCCGTTCTAGGACCTAAGTATTAAGTTATTTAGGAAAAGAATAATTTAGTTCTAGAAAAGAGACGATCTGGCAGAAAAATGAACGAATGGATCTTTCCTTCTAGATAACAATAAAATATTTACACAAGCTATGGGAAAATTTTATTCAAGGCGAACATTATCTCCTTCCTATAAGGGCATTATACGTCTCCTCTAATCTTTCTGATTATGAACAATTGCGCGCACGCTGTATCTCTTTTGCGAAAATGATGGGCGTGGCGTGGAAAAAGTGGACAAATCCGAATTATTTTCAATAGCGACAGTGTAGCAAATTTCATCGAAATAAGTTAAAATGTACGATTTGCAGAGCTTGAATAAAAAAAACATGGCCAGGTGTCAGTTGTACGAACGAACAGGCAGACATCAGTATAAGAAAATGTGGTCCTATCTTAAGACTAGCGGCGTGTTACATACGTCCGCACTAACTTAATATACCCCGTACCACAAGTGGTGTAGGATATAAACAGGATAAAATCTCTGGATTCTATGGCAAAAATAAGAATGTAGGTTACCTAATAACCGGCCTGGACCGACTGTAATATATTCGCTTTTTGTTTTTTTTTTTCGGAGAGGACTCAATGAGTCCATATCGTAGAATGGGAACTTATTTTATCCTTTCAGAAATTATATTTTAAAGTAAAGTCCATTGCAAATTGTAAAATGTCTTCCAATGAAGAAAGACCCATAATTGAATTATTATGGAAAGAGTTAAACGATTTGAAACGCCAGAATAAAATGCTAAAATTAGAAAAAGCTAAGCGACTGCATAAAGATGGTTATCGTTGCTGGATAAACATGGAAGATGCGAAGGCGGTCGATAAATTAAGTGAAGCATGTAATCTTTATGAAGAAGTATACGAGAAGTCATCCAAAAAGTTGGGAAAATTCTATATACTATACGCAAAGTCGTTGAAATACTTCGCCTCGCGTTCGACTAAAATTATTGGCGATTGCAGCGATTACTTCGATAAAAACGATGAAGAGAATGACGGTAATGAATTGGATGAATGGAATGAGGACAGTGACGACGACGATTCAGAAAGCAAAGAAAATGTCGAGAGTAATACTGAAGCTAAAATAATTGATAAAGAACCTGGAACAACTGCCGATTCCAGTGATAAAATTGGAAATAAGGAAATAATGGAGAATGAAAAATATTTTGCAGAAACAATTGAAGACATGAGTAAATCCACTCAAGAAGACTCTCAAGAGTCAAGTAGCTCCGATAACAGAAAGGAGACTGTCAATATAAAGGAAGATTCGTCAATAGGATCCATCAAGGATGGAGAGAAATTGGCTTCAAATAATGAAGAGAGTTTCGAAAATGCCGAGCATATAAAAGACAATATATATGTAGATGTATATGAATATTACTTTTGAAGTAACAAAATTTTTTTACAAAAAATTTATTTCATTCAGGCTACCAAGTTAAAAGTGGGCCGAGAAAAGTTGAGATTAGCAAAGGAAATATTTGAAGGTCTAGGCAAGGGCGGCCTCAAAAACTTAGATGAAGTCAAACGGTTGTTAGCAAAGTTTGAAACTCCCAACGATATTGAAAAACGCCGAGAGATTATACGTCGGGAATATAGTAAGCAAGTCGCGCTTTTATTTATAAAGAACCAACCAAATCAGTTTTTTCTTTCTTTTCTTTGACAGACTATACATTACGATTATCGGAAAAGATGGCAAAGGAGAGCCAATTTTTGTTGGCTAAAAGATTTCATAAAAATGGTATAGATTTTATAAAGGAACAATTGAATGAGGAAGGATTGGAAGCTTTGAAGAAATCGATTCAATTACTTGAGCAAATTAAAAGTAAAAACTATCTCCACCAAGGAATTCGAAAGCGCGTGGACGAAATCAAAAAACATATACAAGAGAAAATTATAATAGTGGAAAAAGCTAAAGCTCAGGTAAATTCGTATTTTCACTATAATCGATTTATTTATTATTATATACTGTATACTGTCGCGCAGGACATCATTGAAGTAAGTACCATAGTAACCTCTGCAGATGCCAACTCATCGGCGCCCTCATCATGTACCTGCTTTTGAACGGGTTTTACTTCAAACTGTAACCGCACCGGAAGGAGGAGACGCTGTCTCGCTTGTGAAATATGGCGAAAAGTATTAAGAATAAGAACACATGTCGAAGATTTCATTAGGGTGTCGAATGGAACTTCGTTTCCTTTTCATTTTTATTCTTGTTCTTTTTAAAATTAATGTTAACAAGTAAGAAAGTTATAGTCGACTGCGGCCGAATTTCGCATATCCACCATCATCATAGTCTTCGGCGCCCCATGCTTTTATTTGTTGTCATAAAAAATTGAATGGGATAAAATGTATCCTTTACCCATAAAGTATTGTTAAGGAAAATTAACCTACCCCGTCATTACGTTCACCACAATGAACTCAGAATTAACACACTTGGCTTGTTGTATGCTACTCTCCCAGTCCCTTTATATCATGCCCATATCCCGTATTGTAATGAAAAATTAATCTACTAAGTCCTGACCTTTTCTTTTATTTGATACCCATACCGTTGGTGTTATTAAGAAAAAGTTAATCCACCAGGTCGTGGTGTTCTCCATATTTATTTTAGAATTAACGCATTTTTAAGCAGATAACGTCTGTCTTCATTTAAAGAATGTGCAAAATAGATTAAAACATTCTTAAAATCTCAAAAAAATTAAAAAATGCAAATTTAATTACTTGTAACTTTCTGTGGGCGTGGCCGATTGTGTCCATTTTTACGCATAAATAGGAATGCGGGGAGTTTTACCCTTCTATCTTTTATAATTTTTGAGTAAGGAGCAAAAATCCATAAAATTTTGATTAGAAAAACGAAGTTGCATTCAGTTTTCGCTCCACTGCGGACTTCTGCTCTAAATAATTTGGAATATTTTCAATAATAAATCTGCGCGCAAAAATTTCAGATGCTTCCACCAAATTTGAAGACGATATCCTCATTTTTGCAACCAAGAGAGTGCCAACAAACAACACATAGACGGACAGACTTGCTTTAATCAATTCCGAATTTTACGTTAATCAAGACTTTATTGCGCCTCTGGATCTTCCTTTTGGGGTTTCCATACATTATGCAAGAAAACAAAATAAGGTACCTTTCAGCAGTGGATAAAAGCGCACTTTTTCGTATTTCGCCCAATTTCTTCGCATACTTTGCTTATGGACGAATCAAAGACAAGTGTTTCGTTCTTGATTTTTCAGGACATTTTCAGTTTCTTCGATAAGCTAAAGAAAATGGGCGCGATAAGTTCATACAGACGCCAACAATTTAAAAAATGCTGAGTTAATCTTAAAAAAGACCAGCAATTCTTTCAAGCTTTTGTCTATAATTTTCGATCTCGCGATTACTTTTTGAAAAACTGTTAACCAAATATTCGCCAGAACCACCTTCATGTTTGATGCAAAAATGAGCCCAATCGGTTTAGTAATATGCCCCCAGTTGGAGTCAATATTTTAATTGTAAATTAGTGGCAATTTTTTCCAACGAACGTTAGCATTTTCTCCACCCAATCCCAATAAAATTAGAAATACATTTTTTAATTTAGAAAGGCTGTAACTTAAATGTTTGAAAAAATTAACCATGTTTTTCGAGACTGCTTTAGTTTTTTTTAAATTGTGGGCGTTTGTGTGAATCTATCGTTCTCATTTTTTCAATCTCATACTCTTAATCGATTAAGAGACTTACAGCTTCCTATCTTGATTTTTGAAATATTAACGATTCACAAAGTTTATTTGTCAAATTGAGGGGTTTCCGTAAAAATAAGTATACAATATCACATTTACATCAAAATGACTAAAGTGGTCGAGTTCCGCAAAAAAATAGTGAGCATATATATTTTCTATCCACGTGAGTGAGCCCGATAGGCAAAGCGTCACGACTAACAACTCAATTATCGCGTGTTGAAATCTCGAGTCCGATACAGTTTTTAATACATATAAGCATAAGGTCTAAGTTATCTGGCAGTCTTTAAATCCATACTTTGTAAATTTATTTACAAAATACTTAGACAATAAATACAAAAAATCGTTTCAAACTTATATGTAACATCTGAAGATACCTACTTCCTATGCCCTATGCAAAATTTTTCAGCTTGAAATCGCAAAACTATCAAATCTAGCATCGCAGGTTTTTTTTTTTTACAAAGTATACAACACTCATGTTCGTTGAAACAAGCGTTGCCATATTTTGATGCTCCTGTAACAGTAAATATAGAAAAAAAGAAATCGCAACAAGTGGTAGCGTGTACTTATAAATTTTGAAGATCTTGGTTTGTAAAAATCCCTAACATTTGTGTTGTTTTGTGAATTTCTTTTCAAACCGTTAAAGTAACAAGACTTTTGATAAAATGGCAGAAAATGGGGAAGAAAGAGCGGCGGCTGAAGAAGTACGTCGTCATAATTTGCCGTGGATTGAAAAGTATCGGCCAACGAAATTTGATGAAATTGTCGGAAATGAGGAGACTGTTTGTAGATTATCAGTATTCGCAACACAAGGCAATGCTCCTAATATAATTATAGCTGGGCCGCCCGGTGTAGGGAAAACAACAACAATACAATGCCTGGCGCGTATTTTACTGGGTGACAGTTTTAAAGAGGCTGTTCTTGAGCTTAATGCTTCCAATGAGCGTGGTATAGATGTCGTACGAAACAAAATTAAAATGTTTGCTCAACAAAAAGTTACTCTCCCCAAGGGTCGTCATAAAATTGTTATATTGGATGAAGCTGATAGCATGACCGAAGGTGCACAACAGGCTCTTAGGCGCACAATGGAAATCTACAGCAATACCACACGTTTTGCGTTAGCATGCAATACGAGCGAAAAGATTATTGAACCGATTCAATCTCGTTGCGCCATGCTTCGCTTTACAAAATTATCTGATGCTCAGGTATTGGCAAAAATAATTGAAGTTTGCCGACGTGAAGAATTGGAATATGACGAAGACGGACTGGAGGCTATAGTTTTCACCGCGCAAGGTGATATGAGGCAAGCTTTAAATAATTTAGAATCAACATCGAAAGGCTTCGGCAAAATTAACAGTGTTAATGTCTTCAAAGTGTGCGACGAACCGCATCCCATGCTTATACAGGATATGCTTCAATATTGCGCGCAGAATGACATTCACAAAGCTTACAAAATATTGGTAAAGCTTTGGTATTTCGGTTACGCGGCAGAAGATATAATTGGGAATATATTTCGTGTGTGTAAACGTCTTACAATTGATGAAAATATGAAATTAAATTTTATCCGAGAAATCGGTGTGACCCATATGAAGATTATAGACGGCCTAAATTCTTTACTTCAGCTAACTAGTCTTCTAGCTAGACTTTGTCAGCATGCAGACGCATGAATTAATTACATCGAAATTTTGTTTCGATATTTAGATAGATGTGTTATATTAAAATAAAATTTTTTTCTTTATGTAATTTGCTCTCATTTGCCCTCTGGCATTCCGTTTGATATACAATTTCATTATAATAGTCATTAGATCTTCATCATACATGATTAGAAGTTCATGTCAAAAATTGGAAAATTAACAAATTAATAAGAAGATTTTTGGTAATAGAATTAATTGATATTAATAAACTTTTTTAATATGCTTTGCCTATAGTCGTATAAAACTCGTCGTATTTAACTCCGGGAAAATATATATATATAACTTTTTAATCTATTAATATTAAAATTTGATTTAAAAAAAAATGTTCCTTTTAATTCAATCATCCGTTTGTTTCAAATTATGATTTCAGATCGAATCCCGATCATCATTCACGCATCCAAAATATTTATATACTATTAATATAATTATAAATATTGTATTTTGAATATGAAAAATAGGTTTATGCCCTAAAATGCAATTTACGCTTTGTTTTACTATTGGACCTGTCAAGTAGACTTTATTCAGGTTTCTTGAAGTGCCATTGGGATTATCAACCATACATATATGCATATAATAGTTGCATGCATTAGTTGTGGCCTTTCTTTCATCTTCATCTCCGTTCGAATTATATGAAAGTTTATGGTATTTGTATACAGAAGATTTGATTCAAGGCGAACCATTAACTGAACTGAAAAATCTTACAAATAAAAACTTTAAACTTAACATGGCAGATGTGCGATATCGAGTTTTGACCTACTGCAATAGGTAATCGGAAAGAAGCATTTGAATCAAATTTGAATTTCTCGCCAATGAATGAACATACTTCCTAAATCCTTCCATCGGCCTAAATATACAGGCCTTACAGATCCATATATATATAAAATGTCTGCATTAACTTTGATCATTTTTTCATTTGAAAAGGCGTTTATTGAAAAAAATTGGTACAATATATACTAATCAAAATATCTTCCATCATTTTCTACAACTTTTTCCCATCTCTCTGGCAACATGGCGATACCGTCTCGATAGAACGATACTGGTTTGGCAGCGATCCAATCGTCTATCCACTTTCGCACTTCTTCAGCATTTCGAAACCGTGTACCAGTCAAGCCGTGCTGCATCGACTTAAACAAGTGGTAATCAGAAGGCGCTAAATCTGGTGAGCACTCTGGGTGCGGCAGAACTTCCCATTCGAGTTCCAATAGTGTATCCTTGACAGCTCTTGCAACCTGTGACCGACAATTGTCATGCAATAGGATGACCGCTATTGCTCCTCTTTTCTGCAACAATTCAGCGCCCAATTTGTTCAACTGACGTCTGTAGACATCTGCAGTAACAATTTCATTCGGTTTCAGTAGTTCGTAATACACTATACCTTGCTGATCCCACCATATGCATAGCAAAACTCTATGGCCATGAATATTCAGCTTCGGTGTCGATGTGGACGGCTCTTCTGGGCTAACGCATGACATTTTGCGCTTGGGATTGTCGTAGTAGATCCACTTTTCGCCGCCAGCTACAATACGCCACAGGAAGCTCTTCTTTTTTTGCCTGGCAAGCAATGAAACCGCAATGTTGAAACGGCTCGAAATGGCATTTTCAGTCAATTCGTATGGCAGCCATTTTCCCTCCTTTTGGATTTTTCCCATCGCATGTAAGCGTCTAGAAACAGTTGATTCATCAACTGGTAAGCTTTTCGAAAGTTCTTGTAGACTTTGTGCTGGGTTCTCGTCCAATAAATTTTGCAATTGATCGTCTTCGAACTTTTTTGGTCCTCCAGGTCGTTCTTTGTCATTGACATCGAAATCATCACTTTTAAACCGTTGAAACCAAAATCGACAATTGCGATATGATGGAGCAGCGTCACCATAAGTTTCTAAAAGTGTTTGATGGGCTTCGGCAGCAGATTTCTTCAAATCAAATAACAAAAGTAATGCATGTCGAAAATGCAATTTTGAACGTTCCATGATTAGCATTTGTATGCACTGAATATCTCAATAGGATTAAATTAAAAACTGTTATTTGAAGTAGAGAAACATGAAAATCATCAAATGTAGTCGTTATGTACACTGGTATTTTCCAGTTCTTTATAAATTTTATTTGTACATGTCGTTGGCCAAAATTAATGCGATCACTTAATATATAACTTGCATTTTTGTTTGTTCTCTATCTCCATTTACATACCAAATTTTGGGAATTTATTTTTTTTATTTGACATTTATGGGAATTAAAATTTTATAGGAAATTGTCTTTTTTTGGAATGTTTTCCATAGAAATATATTTTCGATGAACAAACATGTTGTTTACATTTAATCGTATCTCTCATATAATGAATAAGGCAAGCAATTTCTAACTGTTAAATATAAAAAGAGTTATATTATTATAATATATAGAGGCATAAAAAAGCCGTTGAGCTATGGAAACGTTTTATTAGAGAATTAAAATTGCTTATTCTGTTTGTTGTATCACAGACAACTAAATTTTGTTCAATATTAAGATTAGGAGAATCTCAGATACTTTTATAATAATATGAGAACAAAAGAAGAAGCATAGAAATAGCTGTTAAGTAACTACTGTTATTGGTAACAGATACATAAAATGTGCTTAGGATTTTCCATACTTCAATTTTAAATAAAGTTTTGGAACATCTATATATTTTATTTCTCTCTGCACTGTCTCCTTTATTCTATATATACAAAGTTGCCAAAGCCCATTTAAGTATTGATTTTAAGACTTTCTTTGTCCTTTTGAAAATGCCCAAAATTTCAACATTGGGTAAAAGAGGGGACTAGGCAACTTTGATTTTATAGCATAGCGTCTATAATCTGTCCTTTTCTACATTACTCTTCTTCCAAGCGTACGCAAGATAAAGCATTGTTTTGACAAAGAATTTCACGACAGTTGTGGTTTTTATGCAAATTTTCGGATATAAAGCGCATTTCGTTGCACATTTTATTTCACGAATGAAGGTTTAGGAAAGTGTTTTATTAATTTTATTGTGTAATCAAATATATATTTTTAAAAAGGTAAGAAGATAATCATGAATTAAATAATAAGTGCGTGTGGAAGTATTGTATGAAATATTGTATGAAATACACCTACAATTATACACGCGCGAAGCAAACTGTGTGCAAAATGCAAAGCGGAATTTGCAGTTGATTGAACTTTTTAGCGGACTTTTTTTCAAGTTAATTGGTTAATCGGGTTTATTTATAATATTTTAAAATGAAATCTTGTATTTATATCATTAGTGAGTCATGAAAAATGAAATTAATCGCATTGTTTGTTTTACAACACAGAGTCTGAAAAGATTAAATGAAATGAATTTGTACTGAACATTCAACATATAACATTAACCAAGCACGCTCGGTGACGCGCCAAAAAAGTTCTAGTGAGAATGTTTATCTATTCGAAGAGAAAAGAGTAAGAAAACTAAATTAATCGTCAGCGCATCAATGATTTATCTTTTCGAAAGCTCATGTTTACAGATTTAGAGCCATTATTTCCCTAAAAAGAATACCAGACTATTTAGATAGCATTAAATATGAGATAGGCTCATTGAAAAATTCTCCTTATCCGGGATATCATATGATATTAATTTTATGGGTTTCGTACCGTTTTTATCTTCATGTTTTGTAGCTTTGCCATTTTAATTTCTGTTGCATCAAATTTAGGGTGAATAGCAACAAGAAAATTGTGCGTAAAAACAAAGGTATGACCTTAAAATATGTTACGAAATAAAACCGGTTTTGAATCAGGGTAAGATTAGTGAAAATGTGAGTCCATAATGTTTTAAATATGCCTTAGATATTTAATACAAACGCGTATAAAATCAGCTCCTTAGGTGTGCTTGTGCTGTCTATGAATGTGCATACCTGTATGCCCTCAATCTAAAGGCAAAAGTTACCAATATTTTCGTTATCGTTGATTCATGAATTTCAGTTCTTACGGCAAGAACTATAAATAATTAGATCTTTACACTAACTACTAATCAAAGTTTTAGTCTAAAGTTTCATAAGAATTCATAAGAAATTTAGAAGAATTTGACCATCGCGAGTCTTGGGAATTTATTATAGATTTGTTTTTGTAATGAAAGAGAAAAAGAATGCTTTTCCTATAAAATAATAATCAATTTTCATAATTTGCTTTACAAAGCTAAGTAAAAGAACAGAGTTTGAAAAACTGACATCCGTTTCCGTTAAACATAAAAAGCTTGGAAAAAATTCGCAAAACATAAAAAATAACAAGAAGAAATGCATAGGTACTGTATCCATTTGAAGGGAGATATCAGGCACAATGTAGAACCTTGGATTAGTGAGCTATATAAGAGCTTTCATAACGTACACGGCATTATGTTTGGTAAATATTTGCTATACCCATTACCGAAGGATGAGGGGTATATTTATTTGTCATGTTTCATTTGCGCAGAAGGAAGGCCCAACAGATTTAAGTTCTTGATCAGCGTCAGTCTCTGTTAAGTGGTAAAAATTCATTAACAATATCTGTTAAAGGGATAAAAATTCCTTAATAATCCTGTTAAATAAATAAGACAATTTCATTGTTTAATCACATATTTCGTTTTTATACATTTTCGATTGGTAGTTGTTATTGGTTTCTGCTGCACCGTAGACGTATTCTTTGATCTATTTGATTCATTTGATCCATTTTTAATACTACGATAACTCACAACGGTGTTTGAAAAAAGAAAACTAAGTTTTGCAACAGTGAGAATGTTTTTACTTTAAAAAAACAGGGACGGATAGACAGATTTTCAAAAATTAATATCGTAGGGTCACGGAAGGGTACTTTTAGGTTTTGAGGATGCTTCGCAAGACGAACATTCCACCCTCAAAAACAAAAAAAAAAAAAAAACACAAGTGCCTCGTGGTGAAAAATAGACAAGAAAGTATGGAACGCGTACTATGTAAATGAAAATGTGGAGGCATCCACAGCCATAAGTTGACTGGTTTTTCATAAAACTTTTTCTATTTTTTTCTCTTTAAAAGGTAATCAATGAATACATATATTAAAATATGAATTTTTTGTATTGTTTTATCCAGGGATTATCTTTTTCTTATTAAAGTAGAAATTATATTTTCAAGAAAAGCATTAACATGTCCGTCAATGAAGAAAAATCTCCAGTTAAGTCGGTTAACTCAGATGTAACATTAATTGAACAAGAAAGGGCGAATAAAATACTAAAAGCTAAAGAACTATATAGTCACGGTTCGCGCAATTTTCTCGTAAAATCCTATACGGAAGCCGCCGATGAGTTGAGTCAAGTATGCGGTTTTTATGAAGACCTTTACGGCGAGTTATCGGACGAGCTGGGAATGCCTTACTTGCTTTATGCAAAGTCATTGATAGCTTTGGCTTTGGATGAAAATAAAGTTATCGATGTCCCTGATGAAGACGATGAAGACGATGATGATGACGACGGTGATGATGATAATGGTGGTGGTGATGAGGATCAGTTAGTTGAAAACTCAACAAAGGTTACGGAAAACAAAGAAGATATCGAGACCTCAGTAAAAGATACGAAAAATAATAATGAAACTAAAATAGTTAACAATGATCGGAAATTGCCAGCCGTTGAAGAAAGCACCGAACCAGAAGCAACTATCGATTCTACTGATGACGTTGAAAAGAAAGAAATAACGCAGAGTGAGAAATCTTCTGTAGAAAAGACTAAAGATAATGCAGATAAATCCACTGAAGAATCGCAAGTAAGCAGCACAGATGACGGTTCCGAAGATAAGAACGATGTTACGGCCACAGAAGTAGTGAAAACCAATGGAGTTTCGGAAAGTTCGTCAATTAACGATGGCGAAAAACCTAGCACTTCAAATGGTGAAAAGACTATTGAAAATGGCGAGGATATAGAAGAGGATGAAGCGGTATATAAGCATTAATTTTGAATTGATACAAATTTTTTTACAATAATCTTATTTGATATGTAGGCTTCTAATCTTCAACTGGCCTGGGAAATACTTGAGTTAGCGGCAAAAATATTTGAACGTCAAGGGGAACGTGGCCTCGCCAATTTAGCCGAGGTACAAACGGAATTAGCAAACATTGAATTTGAGAATAATATCCTGGACGCCGCACGTGAAGACTACCGTAAGCATGTCTCAAATTTAATTCTAAAAAAAGCAATTAATTGTTTAACTAATCATAAAAATAAAAAATAAAAACAATTTTTAAATATTTTTTATAGACAAAGCATTATCAATTTACAAACAGCTACCGAATAATTATCGCCGTGCCATGGCCGAAATTCATTACAAAATTGGTTTAAGTTATCTAATGCAGCAGCTGAATAAAGACGGTAGGTAGTAGAGGTGGTGGCCTGGTGCTGCTTTATTTTTACTGAAAAATATTTCAAATTTCCTTCACACACCAAGATTTTCATATCAGTAACGAAAAGTTAAATAATATTAAATTCTCTTTTATCTTTAGTATTTTATTATTTATTTCGTTTATTTGCAATTTTAGGTTCGGGTGCCTTAAAGGAAGCCTGTAAATTAATTGAGGATGAAATCGCTGAAATTAAGATTAAAACTGAAATCAATGAAAAAGATAAAAATAATATTGAAGATATGGAGGAAACTAAACAGGAAATATGGGCAAAAATTGCAGAAATTGAGGAAGCGCAAGCTCAGGTAAATTGTGAAACCGTCGTCTTTGTTGCTCGCCATTTATTTGGACTGTAATCTATTTATTGTATTATTTTCATCGTTGATAGAATATCGCCGAAGTAAGAGCGGCATTAGATAGTTATATAAAACCACTTCACAGCGTTGATAGTGGTGCTGGTACGTCAAAAGCTGGTTCTGCAGATGCCACCTCGCCCTTGCCTTCATCCTCTACCAATTCTTCAACGGCCATTACATCATCAGCCAAACCAACGGACATTTCACATTTAATAAAGCGTAAAAGACCGGAAGAGCCCACTTCAGAAGCAGAAGCTGCCTCGCCGGCAAAACGTCCAGCATTGTAAATGGTTGTTCAATTTAAAAACAACCTCATTCCAATAAACGGGGAGAATAATAAAAATAAGAAGGAAAAGATACTATAAATACTAGACTATATATACACATTAAGTACATTTCATTAGCGTCATGTGTTTCTTTGCATTTCCATCTAAAAAATGAAGTGAACATGTTTTTTGTAATATTTTTTTTTTTTTTTTTTTTTTTTTGATAAATATAGATTTTATTACATTTCTCACGTATTTTGTATATTAATATAAGTAAAAGCAATGTCTTGTTTATTGTTTCTTACCAACATTTTTAATTTCTTCAGTATTAGACAAAGGATAGACAACAAAACAAAAGCACCTATATTTCACACGACATGTAGATACATTTCTTGAATACCGAAGCGATATCGAGAGCGTACAAACAACGAAAATTCGAGAAAAATATGTCATCAAAGAGTTCATGAAGAATGTAAAATAAAACTTAAATTTTTTTGCACACTTTCTTTATAATTTTTGTTGCTCATACAAACAGGTACAATCAAAAAGTGAAAAAGGGGGGAAACGGTTACACAACTATATACTATAGCGCGTATTCATTTAAAACCAGAATTATCTACGCTTTTTGCTTTGTAAGCGCTTGAGAGAATGTGGACGTCATATTAAGAAACTATTAACATACATATAATGAGAAGAGCAGATACAATAGGTGCTAATTAACAGCGCTACTACCGCTATTAGTAACAGATACACAAAAAGTGCGTGGGATTTTGTTAATCATAATCTAAATCAAAATTTCACGATATCTATATATTTATTTTTCTCTATTTGCACTATACCCTCTATTCTATATAAACGGAATTACCAAGTACCATTTAAGTGTTGATCTAAGAATGTTCTCTTTCTTTTTTAAAATGTACAAACCTTTTACCTTGCTTAAAAGAGAGTAATTGGCAACTTTGATTTTATAGCATAGCTGCTGCAATCTATCCTTTTCTACATCATTCCTTTTCATCATACGCAAGATAAAGCGGCAAATCTTCTTTTGCTGATTATTCAAGAAGACGAAGAAGTAAGAAGAATTGTTTTGGTAAAGAAATTCATGGACGGTTGCGGTTTTTACGAACATCCAAGAATTAAAGCGAAATTCGTTACACATTTTATTTTACGAATGAAAGCAGCAAAAAGTTTTATCAATTTTATTATATAATTAGCAAATATATGTTTGTTAAAAAGGTAAGAGGACAATCATGAATTAAATAATTAGTGCAAGTGAAAGTATTGTATGAAATACACGCACGATTGTAAACGGTCGAAGTATAGTGTGTGCAAAAATGCAAAACGGAATTCGCAATTTTTAGTGGACCTTTCAAAGTTAATTTGTTAATCGGGTTTGTTTATAATATTTTAAAATGTTATTTTAGGTTTATGTCATTAGTGAGTGTTTAGTAAAATTAATTGCATTGTTTGCTTTACAACACAGAGCCTAAAAAAAGTAAATGAAATAAATATAAATTGATATAAACCAAACATTCAACGTGTAGCATTAACCAAGCGCACTCGTTGACGCGCCAAATAACTTATAGCGAGAATGTTTATCTATTCAAAAATAAGAGAGAAAGAAGAACAAAATTTTCATCACTTCCACGCTTCGACGCTTCCACGATTTACGCCTTTGCCTGCATAAAAAGCATACCACATTATTTTGATAGTATTAAGTACGAGATAGAGTGTAGAGTGAGAAGTACGTCGAAGAGTGGGCGAACAATTGCTGAAATATTAGATGGTATTAATTTTTAGGGATTCTCTCCGTTTTCATATATTTGTGATAATTCAGAGCTTCAGGAGCAATACAACTATTTGGCAAGATGGTTTGTATACCTATCGGATCCAATACATTTTTTCAAGAAATTTCCCTTCATCACAACATGGTTTCTAATCGAATACCTGTAGCTTTGCCGTTTCAAATTTTACTCGTCAGCATTAGTATGAACAAAAACAACAACAATAACAATTGTAAACAGAAACAAGTGAGAACATTATAATCGGGCATACAATCCTACATTATTTCATCTATTACAGTTATTGGCCCGTTATTATTATTATTACAATGTTTAGACTAATGAAATAAATTTTTATACTAAAAAGGAAAAAACATTGAATACTAGTAACACAGCCTATGTGCTCTATTTTAAAAAAGAACATGTCAAGCCCAATAGATTTAATAAAGTAGCATAATTTTTTCATTTTTCTTTGTTCATTGTAGCCTGAAGGAGGACAGAAAGACTTAAGTTAGACGTATATTTATTCCGATCTGAATTGCTTTTGCAATCGATCTAATTTGCCCGTTCGCATGCCAATACTGTTCTTCCTCCTGGCCCTATTTAGCTGAATTTTTTCTTATAAAGTGAAATTTTACTAAAGAAAAATTAAAGACCGAATGAAAACTTCTAGACTAGAACTTGGGGAACTCAAAGAAGTCGTGTCAATGAACGCTCTTTGCCATTTTCGAATTTTGGGAAGGGGAATTGGTGCGCCGTGTCTCACTATATTGCCTTTACTTATTTGTGAATGAATTGCATTATTGCGTTGGCGCATTGCCTGGTTATTACCAGGCATTTCTTTGATAAAAATGTACAATATTTTATAAATTTATCAATGAAAGTATCCTCCTTTTTTTAGGTTATAAATACGCGTGTCGATAACCATACTCATATTCGACATCTTATTCTTTATCACTTTGAGAACGCAAGCTTGTAAATTAATTGAGTATGAAATCGCAGAAATTAAGATTAGAACTGAAATCAAGGGAAAAGATAAAAAAAAAATATATAAAATGTAGAGGGGAAACTAAATGGGAAACATGGACAAATATTGCAGAAATTGAAGAAGATTAAAGTTAGATAAATTGAAATCATGTTCGTTGCACGGAATTTCTTCGGATTGTAACCTATAATTTTATTGTCTTCACCGTTAATAGAATATCGCCGAAGTAAGAGCGGCATTAGAAAGTTATATAAAACCACTTCACAGCGTTGATACTGGTGCTGGTACGTCAAAAGCTGGTTCTGCAGATGCCACCTCGCCCTTGCCTTCATCGTCTACCAATTCTTCAATGGCCATTACATTATCAACCAAACCAACGGACATTTCACATTTATTAAGGCGTAAAAGAGTGAACGAGTCCACTTCAGAAGCACAAGCTGCATTGCCGGCAAAACGTCCAGCATTGTAAATGGTTCTTCAATTTACAAAAAACCGCATTCCAATAAACGGGGAGAATAATAAAAATAAGAAGGAATATAAATATTATACCCTATATACACCTTAAATACTTTCATTGATGTCATCAAATTTGTATTTCCTTGCATTTCCATTTAAAAAATAAAGTGAAAATTTTTTTTTGTTATTTTTTCTTAATATATATAGATTTATTAACATTTCCGTGTACAATTAATAAAAAGTGCATACCGCAAAAGCATATAGCAGAATAGGAAATTTCTTTCTATGACAAGAATCGCATTAAGCAAAATTAATACTTTATAATATTTATATCGGACAATAATCTAAAACTTCTAGCAAATATTTACGAAAATCACCTAACATTTGAGGATAAAAATTGACGCGACCCTTACATATATATACTTTGCATTAATAGTCTACGATCTAATGGAGATGGACTGGAATCATTTAAAAGTTCAATGCAAACAAAGTTCTAATTAACTAGGGGAAACACCTACAACTACGTCACTAGAACGAACTCAAATGACAAAACGTTTCTTTGAATTTGAAATAGATATGTACTGTCGACTGTTTAGATTAAAAAAATTTCAAGTAATTTTTCACGCAAATCTGAGAAGTGTGTAAATACTTTAGAAAGGATAAAGACGATTTGGGGAAAACTTGCAATTATCTTTTGAAAAAAGAACAAAGTCGGGCGAGGCCGGCCACGAGATATCCCACATCATTTCGCCTAGTAAAGTTATTCACTCGTTTTGGTAATAAATGAAATATTAATTTCATGTAAAAGCATAGAAGCCCGCAAGTTGAAGCATGCTCACACATCACACGACATGATCCAAATTTAAAAAATCGAATATATTTTCCAAAAATTATATAATTTTTCAATTTCTATCACGAAAAAGTAGTTATTATAATTTCTCTCCATGAGAGGCCTTGCTTTTTATAATAATTCTTATATACGTTGGATAAAAAAGAGAACTATGTGATCCAAATTCATTTATTTGCTAAAATTTCTTCAATTTTTATCATAAAATATTAAAAATTAAACTCTTCTCTGAAAGGTTTGCTAGCCACGAGAAATCTGAACCAAGAAGTATACCCATATGGTTCAAATTTGGTCCACCTAATTTTTATGTCAAATTACTATCATGAACCAATTCTCATCATCATCAATAACAAAGATTAACAATTGCATCCTAAGGGTTTATATTTCCTGAGCATCTTTATATGAAGTGGCACCCAAAAAATTGACCTTGTCCGAATTCGTTAAGGTTAAATTCTTTGCCAATTTACTATTATGAATCAATATTCATTACATCTTTTTGCCATATAAAGATTTGATTTTTATAGAAATGGTTATATGAAAGGAAGTCCAAAAAATTGTCTCAACCGAATCAAATTTTTCATACCAATTTAGAATATCGAAATAATCTTAATCAGCGATTTTTTTCCAGAAATTTTAAAAATTGCAACTTAACGACCTTTTTAAAACAACCACTTGTGAACCATTTTTAATAGCGTTCATCCTTGGATTAAAGCACATCAGTGTACCAAATTTAATTGAAACGATATCTGAAAAAGTTCGATCTGCAAGTTGATTACAAAAATGTTTGGTCAGAAATGAGAGAGACAGATAAGCACAGATTGATTCCGAATAAATCAATATAATAAAGAGTGAGTCTATCTTAAAACCTTCTGGATGGTATATACGTCGGAATACGGTTAGTTAACGAGTCTTGTCGAAAAATTTCAAAAATTGTAATCCTTCCATGTAATGATTTCTCAAAATGGGTTGTTATATAGGGAGCGGTTAAAAAAGTGGACCGAACTGAATTGTTGTCAGTAGAGTTCGTCGTTAGATCAAAGCATTGCAGTGCATCAAATTTCATGAAAGTAATATCTCAAAAACTGTGGTTCGAAGGTTGGGCACAAATTTACATGGACAGACGGACAGGTAGGCTTAGAAAATGATTTTAAATTGACCGATATAATAAAGAATCGGTCTATCTCAAATGCTTTTCAATATTACATATGCCCGCAACAAGTTTATATAGCTTTTACCCGAAGTGATGTAGGCTGTATTCACTTGGTTTGTAAGGATTACGACACAATACATAAAAAGGATGCTTATTTATAGAAAATCGTTTACGTTTACGTAATGCATTATGCTATGTACGTAGGTGATGATGAATATATGAAACTATTCAGTTTAAGCCGAACATATACTCTCTCCTGTCCTATTATTCTTAAAAATACTTGTTGTTTAAATTTTAAGTACATATTAAGTGCAATGTTTATTAAACGAGATTTTTGTTTTCTTTTTTGCTTTTTTTTCATTTGACAAAATTTTCGCTTTTGTAAAAAAAATTTAAAAATTAAAATTTGTACAATAATAATAAGAGTTAAGCAAGCATAAATTTATTATATTATATTGGTTCTTAAAGAAAATACTTATTCTATTTTTCTATTTATTGATGCGAATAATACATATTGTTGTAGAACAATATTTTCTAGAATATTCTGTCATGATTTTTTTTTAGTTATTAATGTAATTGCATAATTATTTCTAAGAAAAAAAAAAAAAAAAATTACGTGAATTATATTTTCATGGAGAAACGTTTCTAAGCAAAAACAATTTTTTCGTAAAATAAGGAAAAGAATATCTTAAAAATATATATATGTATGTATATATATATATGTTATAATAATGTCTTTTTATTATTATTAATATTTATTCCCATTCAGTTTGCGTAGCAATTA